TGAAAGATAATCTGATGATTGGGGGAGGAGGAATGCTGCTGAGCTGAAGAAAGAGGGTGTGCGCGATGAGACGGGCTGGTAGACTTGGCTCAGTCAGCAAACCTCCAATAGATGAATGCGAATGGCTTCTTGGGCTTTCTTGGAGACTTGGACACCACCACAAACCACCACAATCACTACCACCATTAAACTGGTTCTTCCAAAGGACGGCAAAATTACGAGATCATGATGTGAATGAAGGGCGACCACTCCCTGGATGTCTTTAGGGGGAGCCTTTCCTCGCTCTCACCGACGCGACCGTGAGATCGAGATGGAAGTGGTGCTGTGACCTCCTCGGGATGCCTCCGGACCTAGTAGTCCCCCAACCTATCGAAATCTATTGAACAGGTTCTTGGGAGTTCATCACGATGGGAGGGTGAGGGGGGAAAGACATCAGCTGAGCAGCTGCGAACTGCTAGGATGATGGATCCCCGGTTGTGGGATGTGGACTCTGTGGTTCGAAGCTAAGCAAGATACTTGCCAGGGATGGTAATGAGGAAGTGCACCCTTTTCCTGGGGGAAGAAGCTGCTTGATCAGCTGGAAGTGAGGGGTCAAGACCGGATGGCGTCGGATGCTGTAGCCCGGTGGGCGTGGGGAAACCCTACCGAAGGCCGAACGGTGTTTGGAAACGAGAGATTCCCGACGGAACCGGATTGCCAACAATAGAAGGTCAGGATGAAGGAATAGGGCAGGTGAAACGGGTGAGCTGTCAGTATGTACGTGTATGAGATTCACTGCGGATGAAGAACATTGCATGCAGGATATGTGATGACAGTTGGCAGCGGCGGGTGCAAGAAATTCAAAAGAGAAAAGAGGGTTGTTTGATGAACTCATCCTGCTGCCATCTCAATTCACCCATACATGCGAACGGCGGCTGCTACCGACTCGCCGTTCTGGAAAAGACCGCATTTTGCATTTCTGATATCTGACCGCTTCTTTCATCACGCAAAAGCGAAAGAGGGGAAATCTTGTCTGTTCAATGCTAGTGTGACAAGTTTATCAACGGATCTCTGCACCGTTTGCCTTTAGCTGCAGGAACACGATGAAGATGCCGACCGTTCGCGGCTTAGTCTCTTAAGCTCCATCTCAGGCACCATTGAATCAGACCAGAAAACTTGTATTCGCTTCCGCAGTACAGCGGATGTACTACCAAGAGAATTGTGTGTGTCCATTTTGCCATCCGCCGCGCGCCAATCCTAAAGAGGCTGAGACAGATGCCCATCGCACTTAAGAAAACATCTTGAGATTCGTCAGCCACTCAGCAGCTGCGGCAGTGGCTTGTCCTTCTCCCCCCACCCTCCCTTTTCCCACTTCCGTTCACGCTAGGCGGCAGCGTTTTGCAGCGTTTTGCACTCTTTGGGCATGGCTTAGGTGGGATCGTCGACGTTTGGGGGGGGGGGGGAGGGAAGGGGGGGTTTAGATCAGGATCAGATCAGGCGTGTCCTGCTGAACGGTCATGGTATCGGGTTCGTCAGCAGCGTCTATCTTTCCGAGGCAAGGGAGAGAGAGATGTGGAAGGTGAGTTAGTTGAATGGGTGTTGAAAGGACGGATGATGGTGGTGCCCCTGTCTCGGTCCGACATCGTGTTTCTCTGAAGCGTTTCTGAAGGGAGAAACTCACGGCCGGGGATGAGCACCCGTAACCGCATGGCATAGCATTGGCGATGGGGTAAAGATAGGCAAAAAAGGGTCCCCCGATGGCACGATGCGGGATGGAAGCGAGGGCATCACGCAGAAAGACTCCGCAGAACAACAAGTTGCAAAAAAACCATTCCAGGGTCAAGCAACTCAAGCACAAGTGCGTAACTGGGATTCAAAGCGGTGGGCAAAAAATCAAGGAGTGTTCCAAGGCGATCAGTGGTCATCGCAGGAGCGCCTGCGCTGCTGATCAGCCATACCAGCAACGACCGGGAACCACTTGATCGGTGATCTTCGCCGGCCGATTGGCTGTCAATTCGTCTTTTTTCGGAATCAGCTTCTTGTTGGCTGACAGGGCCCTCTTCAGGCTTCATCCCACTTCCTTGTCGTGCTTGTGTGACTGTTTGAGAATGGGTTATAGTTGCAGAGGAGCTGGAGAAGCAACGCCACACATGCACACACACCCCCATCTCCCCTCCCGTCGGTGTAGGTGTGCGTCCAGGACCGCCCTCCTAGATATGAATGTTGGATGGCGACGGGTCATTGGCTGCGTAGCTGCGTGCCTCTCCGGCAGGGACGGGATCAAAAATCAGGTGTTCACGACATTGCTGCCGTGGTCGTACGTGTAAAGCGCAAGACATCACGATCCGGGGGAACCGGCACCGCGAAGCAACAAGAAGAGAGTTGTTGTGCATCCATCCGGAGAATACACTTGCAAAGAAGTACGTACGCAAGCGGGATCACGAAAAAAAAAAGAGTGTGCTAAGGCGAGGTGAACTTTCGGGAGGTCTCTGTTGTCGTTGTCTTGGGTACCGTCAGACGGGTTCCCCTTGGCCCCCTTCAAAGTTTACAGGTTCACCGGGAGAGACATTATCGCGATCAGCATCGAAGATTGCAATTGCAAGAAATATGAAACACACGGCCTCGCGCCTGTGGAACGTATCTGAAGCCGTAGCGTATCCTTTTGGGATCTTTTTTTTGCCTCTCATCGATTAGAAAGCCCTGACAAGCCATAGCAGACACGTAGAAGTAGGCATATCAAGCGATAGAACGAGCGTGGAAAAAGATCAGACGGCGTTGATGAAATTCGTTAGCATGTACACAGTAATTAGTGCATGCTTGTTGTTCAGACGGAAGAGATGAACGGATGACGTATCGTAACGTCGCCGTCAGCGCCCGTTTGGGAGCGTGCCCTCCGCTGATCCGCCTGAGATCCACGGCCACCTGCTGTAAAAGGTACCATTTCGTTGAGTTAGTAATGTGCTCATAGGAAGGTTGTGGACGTGCCCGCCCTTCCGGATACTCTGGTACGTATCATCGATTAGGTATCATGGCCTTGAGACTGAACTTGGGGAACCAGAAAGAAGCGAACAGTTGCTACACACTTTCCAGGTTTACCTTCAGGCTTCCAGGTCAGGGCCGAGAGAAGACAAGAAGAGAGTTTTTTGACCAGGTGAACCTGGTAAAGCAGCTACCGAAAGGCTCATAGGACTCATAGGAGTCACAGGCTGACCCAACACCGCCTTGCCTCCCCCATGTCCCCTGTTCCTCTGCCTCAATCGGCTGTCAGCCCGGTCAATTCTTTTCTTCCTTCTCTTTCGTTTCCGTCCCCGTCTCCGGAACTCTCTTTTTGGCCGTGACCTAAATTTGGTGATTGCTCCATCGTGTGCTTCGTTTTTTTGAGGTGGACATTTTCGCAGTCTTCCAAATCCACGAAGAAACCACCAAACAACCACAAAAACATTCAACCCGTTTAGGAACGCTAGTCTCGCCTCGTCTCTCGCCCAGCACAATTCGGACCTAAGATACACACATTCGGCATTCTTCCCTTGGTTGCTGTTCCTCCCGGAGGAAGAAGGCCACGCACGACCATCCGCAGCATGACTTCAGACGGCACATCTGACCGCCGACAAGTTGGAATTGGAATGACGACTTCCTTTTTTGTTCTGTCCACTTTCGCTTTCTCTCAGGTGTAGCTAATGTATTCGTAATACCTTTGCGATACGACAATTCGGTAAGGTCTGAGCAACGAACTAGGGAAGGGAACAGGTAGCGCCGCGCAAGCGCAGCCTTGTCATTGGGATTCGACTCGCGTCCACGGCGGTGAGCAATAGACATTCACGCCGGCCGGGACGGGCGGCGTCCATTCTCGCGAGATCTCTCGATCTCCTTCTCCCTCTCTTTGGGTAACAAATCTCTCTGTCACTCACTCTCCGTTGTTTCCGTCTCTGCTGGAGTTACCGTGTGTCTGGTCTCTCTGGGCAGCATCTACAATCTTCACCCACGCACCTCGGATACGTATACCACCCTCCATTATCTATCGGCGTGGCATGCGCCTGATCCTCTTAGCCTCTTCCTCCCAAGTTGAACCCCTCCCACTCACTGAATGCTCCCGTCATCCATCCATCCCGAAATTCCTCTTCGACATGCGGGACCTGCAAGGCACCGTCTCTCTCATTCCTCAAGAACCCTTTCCTCCCCCCCACCACCCTAGCAAAAGCTAGTGGCTCAACTCACTAGCGTGTGAGTCCTACTTCCTCGTTCCTCGTTCCTCTCTTACCACCCCTGCTCCGTTCACGTCTGTGTAGGCTATCCTCTTTTCAGCCTCGATCGTCAGGGACCTTGGTCTCCTCGGCGTGCTGTGCCCAGTCCACTTGTGCGGTGTGCGGCGTGCGTGTACCTGTCTTGTCTCTCTCTGTAGCATAGCGTATCCATCCTCGCGTCCGCTCGCTTTTCCAGCTTGGGGGGGGGGGGGGAGGGGGGTGTGGTGGTTTTGCTTGCCTGCCTGTCGTGCCTGCTTGCCGATTTGCTCATCCCCACGCTTGGCAGGCAGATGTGGTTCCCCATGAAAATCCTGGTTTCGGCCGTCATGGATGATGAAGTTTTATAATAAGACCCAATGCCCGCTTTCGTTTCCCAAGCTGCGAAGTGCCCTGTCCCGGATCTCCCATCAACCACTCGACATCCTTGTCACCAAATAAGAACCACACTCCTTGAAGACTATTCATTACATACCCGTGTGGTAAAATAAAGTTCTCTCGTGGTAACATATCATATCTACAACATCCTTCCCTCCAGCCTCACTCTCACCTTTCTTCTTTCTCTGGCGAGCTTCCTTCTCTCATCGTACTTCATCTCCCGGCATATCAAATACCGACAGCCCGGATACATAAGGGAGGAAACATAGGAACGACAGGATTGGGAAACAAAACCAACAACAACTATATATACCGATCACCACAAGAGGCCTACATCAACTTGCTGGTCACCATTTCGAAAAAGTTACACTCTGCTCTCTCACATTCGCATACATCTTCGTCACGATGCCTTCACCAATATTCAATAAGGGAGCCCGTCATCCAGAGGCTCTCCACACCCGCAAGCCTTCCCTCACCAACTCAGTCTCCAGCAGCGACTCCTCATCAACACAATCAACCCGCTCAACAGCAACTATGCGCCACACAAGAGTCCTCGACTTTGATCCTCTCTCACTACACCCGACCTTCCACGCACCACCAAGGCTCTACGAGAGACCCTTTATCCACAACTCCCAGTCCATCGAGGACGAGGTCATCAACTCGTACTTCTCCAGCCAGGAGGCAGCCGCAGCCGCCGAAAACAAGGCGAAGGCCTCCTTCGCCGCCGCCATCCCCGACATGCCCGTACCGCCCGTCGACTCGCCGCGGACGCCGATCCAGCAGCAGGAGAGATCCCGAGAACACGCCGCCGAGGGTGACGACTACTTCCTCTTCAAGGTCCAGCAGCACATTGCCTCAACGAGACCGCAGCTGCCGCGCTCTCACTGGTCTGAGTCTACCATTAACACCTTGGCATCTCAGCATGACGACGATGACGAAGACGACCAGGACTCCTCCGAGGACGGCAGCTTTGTCGACGAGGAGAGGCCCGTGAGAGAATCCCAGTGGCGGAACTTCTCAATCAAGCGCAGCTCGCCTTCGACTGTGCGACGACCGGCAATGAAGTCTCTCGATAGCGTCGAGGACTTTATCAAGCGCGGCGGCTGGAAGAGGCGCGGCATTGTCTTTGGGCAAGAAAGTGCCCGAACTTCCAACACATTGTTTTAAGAAACATATCTACTCAACTCCTTCACTTTCTCTTACAACATCTCATCAAAACTCATCACCGACTACTTTATCGACATCATTCACTCTTCCAACATTTCCTATCACCAGTCTTGGGCAACAAAAACGGCGGGAGACACCTCTGAGGAGGTCGGTTTTAACGGCTTTCACGACAGCGGGCGCATCTTTTGATTGCTTTGTTTTCCTCTGTTATCTCTTTTGCTCTTTACCAGCGAGCCTCTTGATTTATGTCTCACTTCTTATCTGATATCCCCTTTTTTTTTTCCCATACATTTTGGGCTATTCAGATTGAATCCCTCTCACCAATTTTCTTCTGTAAGACTACGGCACTTGGAGGTGCACGGAAGGGGGGGACATTCAGGTTGACGTCATTTTTCGGGACGCGGTTCAGCTTTTTGGGGTATACACAAAAAAAGGGGATCCTTTCTTCTACGCACGCGCACGCACAGGCGAACTGTCAACCCAGGCCAAGGGTGGGAAACCTGCCTACTACGGCAGGTCACCGAGCCTGAAGGGGGAACACGGGGGAAGGGGGTGTGAACTGGTTTAGGCGGGCTGGTCCAAAAAAACACGACACACGCCCCGATATAGCATCATCTTCATATTGTAATTTTATTCACGAAAGGAAAAAAACCTGGCAGGCATATCATTACATGCTTGTCAGGCTCTCTTCTTTTGGGTTTACAACATCACACACAATTTCTCTGGTACCGATGATCGATAATGTGAAGCAGTGATGCCGTGATCGGGCAACTTTTGCCTTGGAAGTAAAGAAGGCCTTACATGAGGCAGATGGATACCCGTTGGAAAATCTGATGCAATGCATTTCATGTCTCTGACTTCATCATCAAGGTCACGCTGCCCAATATTCCCAACTGCCATACCCTGTCCTGACGATCGTCTTGTCGTCTCATGCCGAGTGAATGCCAAGCACCATCCCCTGGTTGTCCGTAGGTAAGAACTACGAGAAAGAATGTTGGAAGAATGAGTTCGAACAATTGGGCACCTCTGACCTGGTTCCGCCGAGACGGGAAACTTAGTCAGTGAACCCTTTTTTCTCCATTCAACCCCTGGCTCAAGGTACGGGTAACCGGTTGGGCATCTCTAAATCGTCCCATCAACCCTTGCGACGACTCTATCCGCAAATGACAAAATAATGTTTCCGCGTTATTCCTTGCCGTGCCGCTCGCTGCAAGGTACCGAAACAACCATTTAGGCTTTTGTCTTGAAGCCCGTAAGGCCGCCCTTTGGAATTTGAGAAAGCCCCCCCCCCCCGGATCCGACCGAACTTTGACAGAAACACGGAGCCCGCGGCGGCTCGGGCGTGTAATTCGAGGATGTGACCTTACGGTATCCGTCAGGGTTTAGCCATCGTGGGCCTTCCCTCACCGACGGGACTTGCGAGTGAAACCCTTTTCAAAAGGTTCTCCTTTACGCACGGGAGACTCAGAGCTCTCTGCTGCTAGACTGTCCGCAAACAATGGAAAGGCAAAGAGAACGGACAACTAGCCTTGAAGGTTGTTTTTGGGCCCAGCAGCACTACCCCCCAGTAGGCCCGAAATCTCTTGGTCTCTCTGCGCGGCTCTCTCTCTCTCGAGTTCTCGAGTTTTTACCAATCAACGTGTCCCGTGAGCCTACCTACCCGCCCGGCGCCCGCTCTTGGTGGGAGAGAGAGACGGTCATGAGCCGAGCTTTCCCACCGACTGACCGAAGTCTCCCACCGGAGGGGAATTGGTGATCTTTTTTGCAAACAAAGAAAACATGGGCCGGCCAAGGCCGGAGCTTCTAGGGGATTCAGGACTTCTGGTCGCTGATTGGACAATTGCTCAACCCACCACGTACACCTTCAGCTTCGCAGGTTTCGCTCTCGCCGTGTGTGCGTGTGTTCAAACTTCACCGGGAGCAGGTGATGATTACGAATCTCCTTTCTTGCTAGTCTAGACTCTCTCCCCCCATAGTATCTTTGCGAGTGGGGTATTTTTCGTTTCCCGCAAAGGTTGGGGGCAGGATGCCATCGAATGTTTCCACGTGGACATCCAGAAGCTCGTGGCGCAGCAGTTTGTCTTCCTCTCTGCACCTCGTGCTCGCGTCTCGGTCTTCTAGGTTGACCTGTTTACCCGTCTTCTCTCTCTCACCACCCACATGGCTGTGGTTCTTGAATGCGACGCTGCGGAAGTGCTGGGATGGCTGTGCCTGACAGGCACAGAAGCTTAAACCACCCAGCCAGCCCCCGCTGCGCTGTCGACGGCGGCGGCGGCGCGGACAGATAGCTTCCAGCTCTACTCCGATAATATCACCTGATGCCGAAGCCTAATGGTGCTTAAATTTTTCGGATTCGACAGCTCACTGCTTGTGGGCACCAGAGGGGCTTGGCATGGTACGGTAGCACTAGAAACTGAAAGGGCGAGATTGGAGCTTCAGTCTTCCGAGCCTTTCGAGTTTCTTTGGGTAAACCCGGAAAACAATTTACGCCCCTGTCGCGCTGAACTCAAAAATTTGTTTCTTCAAAGGTCAAAGCTCCTGGGATTAAACTTCATCACGAGGGTGTCGGGATGCCAAATAAAGTAGGCTTACGAAAGGAAGCTACAAACGTTACGACCGTAAATCCCGGAAGACGGGCTTTTTCGGTCTTTGAAGTTTTGCACCTAACGGGCTTGACGGGATGTACTTGGAGATCTCGTCCGTGAGACGGTGAGACACCTTCACTCTCTCGTGATCGATAGTACAGTGATGTAGGCCGCGCTAGCCAAGGCACCCGCAATGCCGAGCACCGCCTACTCCGTATCCGTACAGAATATCTGTTCGGATCCGGAAGACCGTTTGCGCTTGTCAAAAGGTGCATTTGGTGTCGAGATCTCGTGGGAGGTAGCCAATCGATTTGGAAGGGTATGGGGGCACGGTCGTTTCCCGTGTTGTGGATTTCTCACGATTCTTCAGCTGGTGTGGTAGGAGTGGTTCACGCCAACCGGGGCTGGTTCCATCGACCATCGTGAGGATTCGTGACTTGAGAGGTACTTCCGATACTAGTTCTGCATAATGAGTCGTGCATGATTGGATTTCACTCTCATGGACCGTCTTTCATAGCGGTGTGTGTGATTGCGTGTGGGTGGTGATCTTCATCCTCTGGGCCCCAATGGATCATTAGACACGGATCGCTACCAGAGCATCGGAAACCAACATAGCTGACCGACAGCTCTCCAATGTGGATGACTGACTTCATTCCCCGCTCAGACTGCTGGGTACGGTCCACCACTTGCGTACGGAGTACAGATGCACACCGGACGATGGTAGTGTCAGTGTGATGGGTGAATGACATCGCGTGGAAACTTCAAGCGGGTGTGTTCATGAGTCGTGACAGCTTCTAGAGAACGAGGGAGGCCCGTGCCTGAGAACCGTTGCTGACGCTGCGACGCATCACATTTCCGTCGAACGCGGCACATAACTGCCGTGCCAACGTCAGGGTTTCTTAGGCTGCTGCTACACTACTGGGTGTGCGGGCATTGATGAGACGAACATCATCACTATTGCTATTGAGAAGGGCGACGTGTCGAGGCCAAAAAAACCGGGAATCTATAGTGGCTGCCCGGTAGAGTATCGGTCATAATACTGCTCTAGAAATATAGACACCCGAAGAAAAAGGAGATGAGACAGATACCCTACGTAGACAGGCATGCATATGAGGCTGAGTTACCAGACATGCAGGTACCCGTTGCCCCGTGCTGTCTGATTTGCGCGCCCTTGCTTGAACTGTGGCAAATTAAAGAGTCTCGCGAATGCGACACGCAACGGAGCCTCAGAAGGAAACCACTAGCTTTTCTTGCCTTCTCTCTCTCGGACTCCCTCCTAGGGACAGGGAAGAAATGCTCCCGGAATACAGCAAGGGAGGCCTATAATAGCTTGTGGCCTTAATTGCAGAATGAGGCTTGTTGCCCCGGGAAGGACATTGACAGGGGATACGAATTGGGACAATGATGAGAGATTGGGCCCTGGGTGTGGCGGTTATTAACACAACCGAACTATCGGTTTTCACCGATGCAGTCAGCTTGCTTCGTCTGATGTGAATTCGTCACTCTACGGCACGTGTTACCTGACCTAGACCAGGGGGATGAACGGGTCATTGGGGTCCAGAATCCAGGAACAAGGGATGACACATCATGACAGCGACGGTGGGAAGATGATGGGAAATACGGAGTTATGATGGGAACTTTGAGGAGCCCCTAAATCCGCTCCACGGAGTAAGTATGTTAGCAGCTTGAGTTCCATTGACGGAACAATTGGCCCTTGGGAGGCACGGAGGATACAAGACGGAACTGCCGCGGAGAGCGGCGCAAATTCCACAAAAATGAGCTCCGTTGCCCAGGGATCGCAATGTCCGACCCAACCCAAGTTCTCCAGTAACTAAGCTACGTTCTTCCATTTGTGTGCCCATTCGATAAACTCCATCTTCGGTGAAGAGATTTCTTCTCCGGATCTGGTTGCCTGTGGCCTACGAATGCAGTTCACACTTGCACAGTCCACCTTCGTCAGCCCAGCCCTGGCGCGGGGTCCGTGATGGCCTCTTCTTTCACTGTTCATCTCATAACTTTTTGTTCACTAATCCCCACAACGACAACCTCGGGTGGGATCACGATCTGGTCAGTGAGCCATCATCTTTTCTTTTCCCGCCGCCTCACTAGTTCACGCAGTGGGTACTCTCGTCTTCTTAGTGTATTCGTACTGCGTACTCCATAGGACTTGGACCCAACCATGGGCGGCTATTTCTGGGCGAAATTTTGGCAGGGCAAAAAAGAGAGTTTTCTGCCGTGTTTTACGACAGGAAACGAAGGATACGATGGGCAGAAAAATTGGCATCTGTTCCCTTTGTGACTGCCGACGGGAGACAGATTCAACACATAATTACTGCCCCGCCGCGTCCGCCTCGTAAAGACGGAACTTGGCAAATTGTCATATTTTCCTTTCTGCCCAGCTCTTGACATACAGCA